CCCCCAAAAAAAAACGCATGACGTTTCATATCATCTGGATTACGCATAGCTTCTCTGCGATTTTCGCTCCGTATATCTTAAAACCCGCCATTTTATGTTATTTACCAACGACAAAGGATCACGAGACGCGGTCAGTGAAACCTATGAAAAGCAGTAGTGGTACACAAACACACATCTAACTTACACAATGTAGAGGGAAACAATTGAATGGTGTTATTATCTCACCGTAAGAGAAAAAAAGTCGAATATCTAGGACAACAGTGGTGGTTGCAGACTTACAAAAAGCACGCCATTTTATGTTAATTACCAACGACAAAGGATCACTTGCGGGTCACAGGACGTGGTCACTGACCTCTACCGGATGTCATCAAACTCAATGCATATGCATGTATAAAAACCAAGACGTAAGATGAATCAAAAACAACTTTTCTAGTATCTTTGGGTAAATGTACGATTCCTCGATTGTGGCTCACCAAACGTAGTCAGATATGAATGAGCCCGTCATTTTAACGCCATAAGTAGTGTGAAATTAAGCAGGGCACTGGGCGGCAGCGTCTGACGCGCCGCCTCGATTATCAAGCATTGTTTGAGGTGTTATGTTCTTTGTTGGAGGTGTTGCATTCTTTGTTACATTCATTTTTTTAGCTCCGCTGTCGACTTTGTCGAGCGGAGCTTATCATATGAGTGATTGTCCGTCGTCGTCGTCCGTCGTCCGTGTCAATGTTTTACTTTTTCGACTTCTTCTTGAAAACTACAAGCCTAAATGCTTTGATACTTGGTGTATATGTACCTTGGGTAGACCTCTCTTAGATTTGTTCATTTCATGTTGATATCTTCAATTCTCTAATTTTGGTGAATATTTTTGTCATTTTTGGTAAAAACTATATTTTCGAGTTCTTGTTAAAAACCGCAGGTGCAATTGCTTTGATATTACATCTATAGGTACTACATGTGGACCTCTCTCAGATTTGTTAATTTTGTAATGATATCTTTAATTCTTTAATTTTGGTGAATATTTTTGTCATTTTTGGTAAAAACTGATATTTTCGACTTCTTGTTAAAAACCGCAAGTGCAATTGCTTTGATATTATATATATAGGTACTACATGTGGACCTCTCTCAGATTTGTTCATTTTGTAATGATATCTTTAATTCTCTAATTTTGGTGAATATTTTTGTCATTTTTGGTAAAAACTGATATTTTCGACTTCTTGTTAAAAAACGCAAGTGCAATTGCTTTGATATTACATATATAGGTACTACATGTGGACCTCTCTCAGATTTGTTCATTTTGTAATGATATCTTTAAATTCTCTAATTTTGGTGAATATTTTTGTCATTGTTTGGTGAAAGTGATATTTTCGACT